GTGTGTGTGTGTGTGTGTGTGTGTGTGTGTGTGTGTGTGTGTGTGTGAGAGATCAGTATTCAATGTACATAATCTTTTACAAATACAGTATGCATAACATATATTATAATCTTTACATCTACTTTCTTTCACTAGTGTCGTGTTTTTGAGGGTCAACTATGATATAGCCTCTGTGCATATTTCATTACTTGTTATTGCTGAATGATTTTCCATTGTATGCACATACCACATTTGTTTATCCAGTGACCAGTTATGGGACATTTAAGTAGTTTCCAGTTTTGTGCTATTTTGAATAATGCTGCTGTGAACAATCTCATAGAGGCTTTGTGTGCATTTGTTTCCATTTCTCTTGGATTGATCTCTAGAGGTGGAAGGTTTGCTTATATGGCAAATAAAGTTTAACTTTTTAAAGAAACTCACGGTTTTCTAAAGTAGCTATACCATTTGACATTCCCACCACTAGTATATGAGAACTCCAGTTTATCCATGTCCTTATAAATGTTTGATTTATCTGTCTTTTGGAGTGTAGCCATTCTTATGAGTGTGTAGTGTGGTATTTCACTATAGTTTTAATTCACATTTCCATAATGACATGTTGGTCACTTTTTTAATATATTGATCACTTCTTCATGTGTTTTTTAGCCATTCCTATGTTTTCTTTGATGAATTGTCTATTTACGTCTTTTGCCCATTTTTTTCCAAGTTTGGTTGTTTGTCTTATTGAGTTATAAGCGTTCTTTATTTTGGATATAAGTCCTTTATCAGATATCTGATTTTCCTATATTTTCTCCTGATCTGTATTCATCTTCTTAATGGTGCCTTTTAAAGTACTAATGTTTTTCATTTTAATGAAGTTCATTTTATCACTTTTATTTTTATTTTTTAATTTTTTTAATGCTTATTTTTGAAAGAGAGGGAGAGGCAGAGCGCAAGCAGGGGAGGGGCAGAGAGAGAGGGAGACACAGAATCTGAAGCAGGCTCCAGGCTCTGAGCTGTCAGCACAGAGTCTGACATGGGGCTCAAACTCCAAACCATGAGACCATGACCTGAGCTGAAGTCAGATGCTTAACCTACTGAGCCTCCCAGTTTATCACTGCCCCCATTTTATCATTTTTTTTAAATGGCTCATGCTTTTAGTGTTGTGTCATTAAGAACTCTTTCCCCAGTAGCATCTGGCTGGCTCAGTCAGTAGAGCATCGACTCTTGATGTCAGGGTTGTGGTTCAAGCCTCACGTTGGGTATGGACCTACTTAAAAAACAAAAAATAAATAAAAAATTCTTTACCTTATACAGGGTCACAAAAGTTTTCTCCCTTTTTTCCTAGGATTTTTATAGTTTTAGTTCTTACACGTAGGCCTGTAATCCATCCTGACCTGATATTTTTGTAACAAGGTATGAGGTAAAGGTCTTAAGTTCCTACCGATATCTAATTGTGTCTGTACCTTTATTGAGTTGGCACCTTTATCAAAAGTCAAGTAAACATAAAAGAATGGGTTTGTTTCTGGGATCTTCATACTCTTCCATTGGTCTAGGTACCTATCCTTGTGCTAGTACCACAGTCTTATTTATTACAGCTCTCTTATGGTTACTGTTTGCCTAGTATATGTCTTTCCATCTTTTTGCTTTCAGTTTGTGTCTTTCAGCCTTAGGTTCTGTTTCTTGTATATAGCATGTAGTTAGGTCTTGGTCTTTTGTTTAGTCTGACATCTTTACCCTTTACATCTGCCATTTTGCAATTTATTTTCTATCTGTCTCATCTCTTTTGGTCCTCTTTCTCCTTTACTGCTTACTCTTGTGCAAAAGAAGTATTTTTAGTATGCCAGTTTGATTCCTCTGTAGAAATTTTTATGGTTTTTTTTTTTAGTGGTTTCTGTAGTATGCATTATAGTATGCATCTTAACACAGTCCACTTCAGAGTAATACGTAATTCCAGTAAATTATAAACTTGATGTCCATATATCTTCCCCCCCTTCTTTTGTATTGCTGTTATTACATATTTTTTAAAGTAAGCTCTAGGCCCGATTTGGGGCTCAAACTCATGTTCCTGAGCCAGCCAGACACCCTATTATTACATATTTTAAGTCTATGTTATAACCCCAGTAATACAGTGTAATAACTACTTCTATGTACAGTCTTTTCTCTTATAAAGAAATTAAGAAATGGGAAAAAGATGTTATAAACTCTTATATTTATCTATTTATTTACTATTAACAGCCCTCTTGATTCCTTCCTGTGAATTGATGTTATCATCGGGCATTACATTCTTTCAGCTTCAACATCTTCCTTTAATATTTTTTGTAAGGCAGGTCTGAGGGCAACAAATTCTCAGTCTTTGTTTATCTGGGAATGCTCATTTTTGAAGGATGGTTTTATTGACAGGTTTTTTTCTTTCGGTACTTTGTGTCATTCCTGTCTTCTGACCTCCATCATTTCTGATGAAAAGTCAACCTTTAATTACATTGTTACCGTGAACATGATGAGCTATTCCACCCTTGCTATTTTCAAGACTTTTTTTTTTTTTACTTTCCTTTTTTTTATTAACATTTATTTATTTTGAGAGAGACCGTGCACGTGTGAGCTGGGAGGGAGAGGCAGAGAGAGAGAGAGAGAGAGGGAGAGAGAATCTCAAGCAGGCTCCACGCTATCAGCTCAGTGCCCGATGTAGGGCTTGATCCCATGAACCATGAGATCATGACCTGAACCAAAATCAAGAGTCAGATGCTTAACCGACTGAGCCACCCAGGTGCTCTTGACTTTCAGCAGTTTGATTATGATGTGTCAAGGTGTTTATCCTAATTTGGCTTCATTGAGCTTCTTGGATTTGGCAAATTAATGCTTTATGTAACATTTATGAAATTGTTGGCCATTATTTCTTCAAATAATTTTTCAGTCTTGTTCTTTTGCCCTTCTCCTTCTGGCATTACCATTACCCACGTTTGTATACTTCATATTGTACTGCATGTTTCTGGATACTGGTTTGGTTTTTTTTGTTATGTCTTTCGTTTTTTGTTTTTTTCCCCAGTCATTTTTCCTCAGCTCTTGAGATTAAATAATTTCTATTGGTCTATCTTCTAGCTCACGGACTCATTTTTGTATCATTTCCAATCTGCTGTTGAGCCCCTTTTGTTAATTTTTCACTTTGGGTATTGTGCTTTTCCAATTCCAGAGTTTCTATTTTCTTTTATTACTATTACTATTGTTCTATCTCTTTATTAAGTCTGTACTGTGTTAATTAATTATTATGGCTTTATAATCTTTGTATCTGGCAAGGCAAGGTTTCCCTTCCTTGTTCTTCAAAATTGACTATTTGTTTTCCCATATGAAATTTAAAATCAGCTTGTGAGTTTTATGAAAGATCCTTGTGGCATTTTGTTTTGAATTATAATAAATTTACTGATTAATTTTGAAGATCAGAGTCATTATTACAGAATTGAATCTTTCTATCAATAGATCTTTTTAAAAGTCTTTAATGAAGGTGATTTTTTTTTTTCCTTAAACTTGTAGGGAAAGCTGTAGAATACTTTATGGATTTTCTTATCATAATTGGTATTTTCTAATTTGTTACTGTTATTATTTTCTATATATTTTATGTTACATCTTTGATGAAATCTCTCATTAGTTTGTAGATCCTTTTAGATTTCTATATACATAATCACATCCTCTGAAATATTAACAGCTATGTTTTTTCTTTTTTAATCCTTAATACCTTTCATTTCATTTTCATATTTTTTGTGTGCTAAGTAGAAACTTTGGAGTTAAGTAGGAGCATTTATGGTGAGCATCCTTTTCCTCTCTCCCTAACTTTAAAGGAAATGATTTTGTATTTCACCATTAGTTACATATGGTGTGTCCTACAAGCTGTTGGTAATTGTGGGTTATGTTTGTTTGTCTGTGTTTTTAGGCTAAGGAAGTTCTATTCCTAGTTTGTTGAAAGGTTGTGGTATGTTTATATTATTAATGCTTTTGCTTACATCTTTCAAGATAATCATATGGGGTTTTTTT